TTCTTAGACTCCAACATATGTAAGTTTCCTAGACGTTAATTCCCAGCTCACTGAATTGTTTATATTACTGGAATTCAACAGATCCTATGGGCACTAGTCAGGCAACAGTTTCTTCACTGCTCATACCACGTTCAGTGTCACTATCAGAAACATGGAGAAAATATTAGAAACTACAAAACACAAAGTTCAAAGCAGCCACTGTGCTTAACAAATGTGATTGTTGTTTTTGTTTGTGTGTAGTGCAGTGGCGCAATCTTGGCTCACCGCAACCTCCACTTCCTGGGTTCTCCTAAGCCACTATGACAACCTTAACAATTCTCCTGTCTCAGCCTCTCGAGTAGCTGGGATTACATGCGCCTGCTACCACATCCACCTAATTTTTGTATTTTTAGTAGAGATGGGGTTTTACCATGTTGGCCAGGCTGGTCTCAAACTCCTTACCTCAGGTGATTCTCCCATCTAGGCCTCCCAACCGCTAGGATTACAGGCGTGAGACACTGCACCTGACCTGCAAGCATCTTATAATGCTGGCATGGTGCAGGTCTCAAAAGAGTAATGACCACATTTATTTCACAATATTGTTTATATAAATATATTATTAAATTGGCATTTAATCAGGGACTATATTTCCATTATCTAATAAAATAATATACTTTTCAAAGAGCTTTGAATCAGATGAAATTCTCTTTAGAATGTCATAGTAATCTCAGGTGGCATGGGATAAATAACAAAAGGCCAGTCTGTCTCAAATACTTACCAGATGTTTACTGTGTGACCAAAACTAAAAAGGCAGTCAAAATGAACATTTTAAGTAAAATACCAAACTAAGGTGAAGTACTGATAGAATTAATTGTAAATTTACCTTTAACAGAACTAGTTAAAGATTGGACATGGATGATATTTCGTCCTGATATTACTATCACATGTACTTTTCCATCCAATTAGTTCAATGAGGTCACCAAACAAGATTTTAGACAAATGCTTCCTGACTCACTCTCCTGAACTCTGCCCTATCCCCTTGAAAAGGACCAATCATGTTAAAGCCTTCTGTTAATTTTTTTCCTTTTCAGAGCTTAATAAATAAAAAGAATTCTTTGAAAGAGTCACTCTGATTTCAGGTAGAACATGAATGATGTAAAAAACAAGTTGGGCAACAACAGTCAACGTGGCATTATTGATTTTGGCAGTTAGCACGAGTATTTCCAAATGCTATTTATTCTTCATCTATCTCATGTCTAAATTTTGAACTTGTTCTCTGCATTTTTACATTGTTTAATGAATCAGCTCTTTATTTCACAATTGGCATTTATCCTGCCTTTCCTATACAAACTATACCCCGTAGGTAACCAAAGAGTCTACTGGGGATGTTTTTCTTTAAAGTAATCTAGCTAATAAATGAAAAAGCAACGTAGAGCTAGAATATCACAGCTTTTCTGCCCTAATGAATCACTGGATGCAGTACTGAGCATGCCTAGACATCATAGAAAAAGTGGATAATCAGATATTTTGTGCTTCCTGGTAGAAAAGCGCACCACACATGTATGAAGTATTTTTGCCAAAAAAAAAATCTAACCTGAATCTGATCAAGCTTCTAGAGCCAATTTGCAAACATACAGAATGCAGAGCACTTGTTAAACTATGGCATTCCCATTGCAGGGATGCCATCAACAAAATCTAGGCTGTTGGAAATTCTACAATACAAACAAATTACGAGAAAAGAGATGAACAGATGTAGATATTAAAGGAGGCTTATAAGACACATCAGGCAATTGCGGTGTTAAAAAGAAAGACATAAACCTAATTGGACAGTTGTACACTTATTTTATATTTGTTTTGAGGTGGAATCTTGCTCTGTCGCCCAGTCTGGAGTACGGTGGCACCATCTTGACTCACTGCAACCTCCACCTCCTGGGTTCAAGCGATTCTCCTGCCTCAGCCTCCCAAATAGCTGGGATTACAGGCACCTGCCACCACGCCTGTCTACATTTTGTATTTTTAGTAGAGATGGGGTTTCCCCATGTTGGACAGGCTGGTCTCAAACTCCTGACCTCAGGTAATCCACCTGACTCAGCCTCCCAAAATGCTGAGATTATAGGTGTGGGCCACTGCACCCAGCCTACACTTATTGTCTCTCAAGACATTAAGAAATCTGATTTTTATGGTATTATAATTGTATTATGATTGTGTTTTTAAAAAAATCCTTGTCTTTAGAGATACATACAAAATTATTTATTATTATTATATCTGTAGTTTGCTTCAAACTAATAGATGGAGGGAAAATAGGTAGGATATAGATAAAGCAATATGGGTCATGAGCTGGTAATTTTTAAGACAGATGATGAATGCATTGGGATTCATTATTATTCTGTCTTCTTTTGTATATGTTTGAAATTTTTTATAATTAAGAAAAATAAATAAAATCGCCAGAAGGCTCACACCTTATCTGCTCTTTTACCAGTGACATTCACCTGTATTTTTGCTCCTTTGGCAAACAAGGCAGAAGGATGTCCCTTTCACTGTAACTGCGAAATTAACCTACAGATCTCTGAAGGCTGTCCTTAAGCCACTATGACAACCTTAATGAGCGTAACATTTTGCTTCAACCCCACCCTTCTACCAATGCTATGAAGCTCTCCTAGGGTCATGGTGGACCCGTGTCATGTAAGTGATGGACCCTCAATAAGCAAGTAAATGACCTGAAGAAAGTGAGTTTCTCTGACACGTCTGCAAAGATTCTTAAAGATAGGATTATTCAAAACAGCATGGTGTCCCGGAAAGAATCCAACAGTCCCCAGGTTGAATCCTGGTTCTCCTACTTTCCAGCTGCTTAACCATGTGACCCTGTGTACATTACTGAACCTCTCTGAGCCTCAGGTCCCTCACCTGTACATTCGGGCTAGTCACAGAACTGTTGTGAGGATTAAATGACCTACTGTTGTAAGTTACCCAGCATAATTTTGGGCTTCTATTGGATACCCAATAGCTACCTGTATATATCACATTTGAGCTTACAGAATGATGAAGTTATAAAGCTAAGGCTGCCTGCTACAACTTCTGTACTAATTATAGAATGGTTTTAGTCAAAGCTTGTTCAGCCCACGGCCCATGGGCTACATGCAGCCCAGGATGGCTTTGAATGTGACCCGACACAAATTCATAAAATTCCTTAACACATTATTTAATTATTTTGTGATTTTTTTTTTAGCTCATCAGCTATCATTAGTGTTCGTATATTTTATACATAGCCCAAGACCAATGTGGTCCAGGGAAGCCAAATGACTGGACACCCCTGCTTTAGTCTCTATTTTCTAGACATTGAAGAAGCTGCTCAGGTTATAACAATGCACATAATTGAGACTTGTACTCTTGAGGATCACTGAGGCTCCTCATCTCTATTTCTTCTATAAGGTGAACTCACCAATTTACTGGAAAGATAAAATGTTTACATCATTGAGACTGTTCTTATTTTGTATCCTCATTGAATACCAATTAGGACAAATATAATAATGCGTTAGGTATGTTTAAATAGGACTATATTTTCTAGCTATTTTTATTAGCCTAACGACTTTTTTTTTTTTTTTTGAGACACAGTTTTGCTCGTTGCCCAGGCTGGAGTGCAATGGCACAATCTTGGTTCACTGTGACCTCCACCTCTCCGGTTCAAGTGACTCTCCTGCCTCAGCCTCCAGAGTAGCTGGGATTATAGCTACTCGCCTAGCTATAATTTTTTTCTATTCCACCACCACCCCTAGCTAATTTTTTTCTATTTTTAGTAGAGACGGGGTTTCACCATGTTGGCCAGGCTGGTCTCGAACTCCTGATCTCAGGTGATTCACCTGCCTCAGCCTCCCAAAGTGGTGGGATTACAGGCGTGAGCCACTGCATCTGGCCACCTGATGATTTCTTAGTACATTTAAATTCCTTACTTTGGGGTGAAGTTGACAAAATTTTTGAGTTGATTATTTGTTGGCATACACGGTTTTCACATTGAAGACTGTTGTTCTTGATGACAATAGAAAGAAAATGCAAGACCAATCAGTCTAAGGTGAATAACAATAACATCTTCCATAACTTATAATAATGAAAATGACTTGTGGTAGCATGCACCTATAATCCTGGCTTCTCATAAGGCTGAGGCAGGAGGATCTCTTGAGCCCCCCGACCTGGGCAACATAAGGAAATCTCATCTTGGCCAGGCGTGGTGGCTCTCCCCTGTAATCCCAGCACTTTGGGAGGCCAAAACAGGCGGATCCCTTGAGGTCAGGAGTTTGAGACCAGCTTGGCTAACATGGTGAAATCCCATCTCTACTAAAATACAAAAATCAGTTGGGCATGGTGGCATGCACTTGTAATCCCAGCTATTTGAGAGGCTGAAGCAGGAGAATCGCTTGAGCCCAGGAGGGGGAGGTTGTAGTGAGCTGAGACTGTGCCACTGCATTCTAGCCTGGGAGACACAGCAAGACTCCGGCTCAAAAAAAAAAAAAAGAGATCTCATCTCAGAAAAAAACCAATTTTACATAATGTTGTAAAAATCATTTGCTACAGATCAGCTATTTCTGACCAAGTTTTAACTACAGGCAAGAAAATCATAGACTTCAAAATGATAATTATGAGTTGCTAGTCTAGTCTCTTATTTACATTGCTTTCATTCTAGCAGAAGAGGAGGTGATTTCCAGAGTCAATGTGCCTTCGTTTGGGCTTGCTCTTTATTCTTTATCTTGTTATTTTTCATTTCTAAACTCATACAGGTGTGGAGCTTTCTTTACACAAAGTAGAGCACATGGCCAAGGAAAGGATGTGATTCCAGAGTCTGTTCCTACAACTGCCCTAAAAGTACAAATACTTTAAGAAATGTAGTAGATTGATTTAAAGTCACAATACACTATAAGTGAGAATTTTTTCAAGATAAAACAGAAAGATGCCAGGTATATCAAAAGAAGGGATGCTTCAGAAGGGAACCACACTAAAAGGAGATTAAACTCCCCCAAAACAAAGCTTACCTACTTCATAATTTTGATGAGGGCTGGCAGACTGGCACTGGAGAGGCAGTAGAGACACAGAATACTCACCCAGGCTGAGTGAGATAGGAGATCCAGGATCCAAATAGGAGTTCCAGGCTGTAGCATTGTCATTTATTAACTGATCTTCTCTAACTCCTCTGAGACACACTTTCTTCACCCACAAAATCTAAGATACGTGACAGAGGGAGAGAAAGAGAATCAGTTTGATCTCTATTTTTAGGTTTAAGATTCTTAGATTATGCTATTTTAGGTTTAAGATTCTTAGATTATGCTATATTTATATAGCACCACATCCACGTAAGTACCAAACACACAATTAGTCTATGTTATTGGACACACACTCAATATGGTCTTGAGTACAGCTAAAGAAACATAAGCAGATTCAAGCTTTTGGGTAATCCATACAAGAGAACAATGATATTAAATACTATAAAATCATGTAAGTGATGGCATGTTAAATTTTTCACTGATAGATAAGCGGGAATTCATGTTATATCCAGTGAAGACCCTTTCACAGTTATATTTGGTTAAGGTACCTTTCCAGTCCTGTGTTTATACAGGTAGAACCACTTCTTTTCTTTTTTGAGATGGAATCTCACCCTGTCTCCTAGGCTGGAGTGCAATGGTGCAATCTCAGCTCACTGGAACCTCCACATCCCGAGTTCAAACGATTCTCCTGCCTCAGCCTCCTGATAGCTGGGATTACAGGTGCTTGCCACCATGCCCAGCTAATTTTTGTATTTTTAGTAGAGATGGTGTTTCACCACGAGGCTGGTCTCGAACGCCTCACCTTGTGATCCACCCGGCTTGGCGTCCCAAAGTGCTGGGATTACAGGCATGAGCTGCTAAGCCTGGGCACCACTTCCTTTTTCTATTTAATAAAATATTGGTGGGGAAAAGACCCTCTGGCATTTGCTGTCTCATTTGTTCCTTTGTTGTAGTGATAGGGAAAGCCATCAAACAATATTTCAAGAAAGAGATAAGATATAGATGACTTTTTAGATCTCCTTCTGGCCTTGTGGTTTTACATGTGGTTTTACAGAATAAAAGTAAAATAATAATAATGATTATCAGGCTAAATGGTAATGTGGAAGTACAGGGATAATTCAAAGTTTAAGAATTCCTTCCCAGCCGGGCACAGAGGCTCATGCCTGTAATCCCAGCACTTTGAGAGGCCAAGGTGGGTGGATCACGAGGTCAAGAGATCAAGACCATTCTGGCCAACATGGTGAAACCCTGTCCCTACTAAAAATACAGAACTTAGCTGGGCGTGGTGGCATGCACCTGTAATCCCAGCTACTTGGGAGGCTGAGGCAGGAGAACTGCTTGAACCTGGGAGGTAGAGGTTGTAGTGAGCCGAGATCGGGCCACTGCACTCCAGCCTGGTGACAGAGCGGGACTCCATCTCAAAAAAAAAAAAAAAAAAAAAAAAAAAAGAATTCCTTCCCCATGTTTACCTGGTGTGCTTTGCAAGGTCTAGATGACATCAATGATAGAATTCTTGCAAGCAACCGCAGCAGGGTTCTTGAAGGTCCGTTGTCACTTAAAAATTTTTTTCTTCCCTTTATGTTGTTAGAAAAATAGACTGAAGATTTCCCTGAATGGATAATGGAATTAAGTTTCTCAAATATGGTCCATGGACTGCCTGTCTGCACCAGCATCATTTGTGGTGCTTGTTCAAAATCCATATTCCTTGGGAATGGAGGTTTCACCACTTCAAGACCCACAGAGACTCCATTATGCTTTATGCAGGGTCACAGATGCCTCTAGAATGAAGTAGATACTCCTTTTGAATTCCTGTGATGTGAAACTGACAGCAAATATTAATCCAAAAGCAAAACTGAAAAAAAAATTCATATTCTTGGTCTGTACCTGAGATCATCTTGATGGGTCTCAGGTATCCTTGTATTGTATTAAACCCTCTGGTGTTATTTATACACAATAATGTCTAAAAATCACTATCTAGATTAAGAATTCACATTCTATTGCATTGGATTAGTGATACAATGAAATTTAGATCCAGAGTTTTTATCATTCAATATCCAAAATATGTGGAAGTGACTTTTATATAGCTTTCAAAATATAACACATGTAAAATAGACAATAAAAACAAGCTTTAAAAAGAATAAAATCAAAGGCTGGGTGCAGCGACTCATGCCTGCAATCCCAGCACTGTGGGAGGCTGAGGCAGGCAGATCACAAGGTCAGGAGTTTGAGACCAGACTGACTAACCCTATCTCTACTAAAAATACAAAATTAGCCAGGCATGGTGGTGGGCGCCTGTAATCCCAGGAACTCAGGAGGCTGAGGCAGGAGAATCTCTTGAACCCGGGAGGTGGAGGTTGCAGTGAGCCGAGATCTAGCCACTGCACTCCAGCCTCTGCGACAGAGTGGAACTCAATCTCAAAAAAAAAAAAAAAAAAAAAGAAAGCAAGAAGAAGAAGAAAGAAAGAAGAAGAAGAAAGAAGAAAGAAGAAGAAGAAGAAGAAGAGGAAGAAGATCATTCCATAATACTGTTAACCAAGGAAAAACAATAGTTGAAGACTATTTGTGTGAATTTCCTTCAAGTCTCCAAATATCATAACAGAGATCATCACTGGTTCTGAAAACTCCCTAGCTCTTACCAAAATGCCTAGCACATAGTAGGTACTGAAATCTTTGCTGAGTGAACAAAGAGAGTAAGTGAAGCTGAAATCAAATTGTATCTTTGATTTGGGTCACATTTTTTATAAAAATATACCAGCATTAAATAGAATATCACTTTCTGACTCTCAAAATTGATAACAAACCAATACTAGTACTTCGGTATCAGATATTTTTCTAGCATTTTAGCCATATTAATTTAACTCTAACAGCCACATGTCATGTAAGTGCTATTTTATCCCAATTTTTAGATCAGGACACTGGAGCACAGAGAGTTTAGGTAACCAACCCAATACCACACACCCAGTATGTGGCAGAGCTGTCTCCCAAGGCTTTATCAGACCAGGTTAATCTACCTGTTCATGGTCATAAAGTCATCCACCTTTTATAAACAAACATGTGCCTAACATTTACCATTTCAGCTACAGGAACTTCTATATAACATAAAAAAACTCTCCATTAGGAAACTGTATATTAGGTGATTGTATGACAGTTAAGATTGAGCCTACCTTACTCTGCTACTGCACAAAACTCTGCAAGGGCGCCCGTACCACCCCAGGTGTGGGATGCGAAGTGCATCGGGCAGGTACGTCCGCGCACATCCACACTTGCTGTTCTCAACCCCAATAATCATGTTTACCACATAAGCCTCACAAGCTCACCTTTTTTTTTTTTAATTTTTTTTTTTAGACAGGGTCTCATTCTGCCTCCCAGGCTGGAGTGCAGTGGCACGATCTCAGCTCACTGCAGCCTCGACCTCCTGGGCTCAGGCGCTCCTCCACCTCAGCCTCCCGAGTGGCTGGAATCACAGGCACGCGCACCACCACATGCGGCTAATTTTTTGTATTTTTGATTTAAGAGATGGGGTTTTGCCATGCTGCCCAGGCTGGTCCCGAACTCCTGACCTCAAGTGATCAGCCCACCTCAGCCTCCCAAAATGCTGTGGATACACAAGGGAGCCACCAACTTCCCAAGTTTAAGGGTGAAATGGAGGAAAGTTCATGTAATACTCAGCGAAGTCCAATTCTTCCCACATCTTTCACTTGGGCCACACACAAAAATTAATTACAAGTGCACCGTTCTGTTCACGGTGAAGAGTGCGCTCACCGTCGGTAGCGTCCACTGGAAGCCCTGGGTCAGGCCGGGAGGGGGACAGGGCCTCCTGCTCAGGACCGTTATCCGAACTGATCTGCTCCCCACCGCACCCCCAGAGAAACCCACGCCACCCCCTAAACCTAAGAAACCCAGACCCCGCAAACCTGCACGAACAGAGCCATTTCCTCCTAACGTGTGCTTCAAACCCACGAAGCCCAACTGGAAGCAGGACAGCGTGTCTGCCCGGCACACTATTCCTTCTCCCCCAGGCAGCCGCCGCCAATCTCGGCAGCCGCCGCCGATTCGGGCAGCTGGTGGGTCCTCGTGGGGTTCCGCGAACGTTGAGCCGCCACGCGCAACCGGCGCCGGCTGGGCCTGCAAATCACCTCCCGGCCGCCAGGGGGCGCCGCGGCCGCGAGAGCGAGGCCGGTCGCCCAGGAGGGGGCGCGCGGGGCCGCAGAAGAGGAGGGCACCGCCTCGCTAGCCCTGCGCCCCTCCCCCGCGCGCCCTACAGGCGCGGCTGCCCACGAGGCCCCTGTGGGCGAGGGGGCGGGGACGAAACGGCCCCGAGGATCCGTGCGCGGCACGGCGGCGGCGCGAGCCCGAGGGGGCGGGGAGGCGCGGGCGGGCGTGCGCGTGCCGGGCGTGGGCGTGGGTGAGGGTAACCGGCGCGGGCGCCGCGACAGCGCCGGGCAGAGCGACCCGGCTACCCTGGACAGCGCATCGCCGCCCGCCCGAGTTGCCGCGCCACAGCCGCTGCGGATCATGGTGAGTGGGACCGCGCGCCGCTACCGCCGCGCTTTTTTTCTTTCCTGGACCCACGCACCGGGCGGGAAAGGGCCGAGCGGGTGGCTGTGCGGGCGCTGCGGGTTCGCCGCTGGAACCCGCTACCCTCGGAGGGGCCGGGTCCGCGCGGGCCTGGGGAGCGGGAGCTGAGCGTTTGGGCCGGGGGGCGCGCGGGTCGGCCCGAGGCCCGCTGGTCTCGGGAACTTTGTCCAGGTTCCTGCTCCCCGGTCCCGCCCCAGGACCTCGAGGTACTCGCTCGCGCTCAGCCCCCTGTTGCATGCACGGGGCTGGCGCCCGGGATGCCCGAGGAAGCCGCCCCTCCTTCGCGGCGGCCATTCCCGCCCGCAGCCCACCCTTCGGCCCCCGGAACCTGCTCTCGCCACCGCCCGCCGGCGCCTGGAGCGGAAAACGGCGTTTCCCGCGCGCGGCACCCACCCTGCCTCTGGAGTCCTGGGGTTCGGACCCTAACGGTTAAGCTCCCGCCCCTCTCCTCCCTGCACCCCGGGGGTGTGTCTGTGTGCTCGTTGGTGCGTCCTGGGTTTACACATTGGCTTGGGAGGGGGCTGGGTTTTATCAGTGTCTGGGCTTGGAGGGGCTTCTGGTGTGTTCTTTACGACAACTCCTCCCTGTGCCCGGTTTCCCAGGCCAGTCCTCCACTCTGCATTAATACCGCTTGCTCTCGGCATTAAGCTGTGTGTGTGTTGGGGGTGGGGGGCGGTGTGTTCCCCCGGGTCCGATGAACTGCCTGAGAGTTTTAGCAGAGCCTGGTTCTTTGGCTACAAAGGGAGAACATCTGTTGTGCTGTCCTCAAAGGACCGGTCTTGAGGCAAAATGTGAAATCCGCGTTTGTCTTCAGGGGTCTATATTCAATTTTTGCCTCTCCCCCTTCCCGTAGGGTTTCCTCTCCACTTCAGGGCTTATTAAAATATGCTAACCTCCTTTCTCTTGCCCACTCCATCTGATTTTGCCCTGGCTACTCCTTTAGGCACATACTGTCTGCCTGATTATGTGTGACCACTTAATCTTAAAATTCCAACCTTTCCTACCCCGCCCACCACAGTGTATATTCCCCTTGCCTGCTTCATTTTGTCTTCTCTTGAGCCTGTATTATTTAGTGTACTGCATATTTTGTTTAGCCTTTTTCTTGAAAGTCTCCTCTACCAGAATGTAAGTTTCAGGAAGACAGATTTTTATCATTTTGTTCTCTACTGTCTTTCTAGTGCCTACAGCCGCACAGTAAGTACTTGATAACTCTCTTGAATTAACCCAATAAAGCAAGCTGCCTTATGCTAATGCACAAGCAACTGCAAACATTTTTCAGCTGACAGTTGTAATGATGAGAGCCTCAAGTGAATTTGGGAGGAGGGAGATACTCCCCGAGAGGAGGGACCCGATTTTGGCAGCCTTCAATGACAAAAGCATAGGCGGCTGTCTCTTATGCCTGGTCTGTCGCTTCATGCTCTTGGCACCTTGGCATCAGAGTGGACAAGGCATTTTTAGGGCCAATTGGCTCTCTCTTTGGGCTCTGAAGCTTTGTCCCAACGTGTAGGAAGGAATTGTAGTGAGTAAGGGAATAAGTTCACTTATTAGCTGAATAGAAAAGTCATGGGAATGTTTAACCTAAAAGAGCTAAAATCAAGGGCAAGCTCTTGAAAGCTTTATCCTGCACAAGTGTGATGCTTCCTGTTTCGATAAGTATTTCTCAGAAACTTTGGGTCTTCAGAGGAATTTTTTTTTTAAATACAAAAATCCAAATTGTATTACTTTTTTTTTTTTCTTTTTTGTGGCAGGGTCTCACTCTTTCTCCCAGGCTAGAGTGCAGTGGTGCAATCTCGGCTCACTGCAACCTCTGCCTCCTGGGCTTACGTGATTCTCATGCCTCAGCCTCCCGAGTAGCTGGGATTACAGGCATGTACCACCACACCAGGCCAACTTGTGTATTTTTGGTAGAGACAGGGTTTCACATGTCCAGGCTGGTCGAACTCCTGAGCTCAAGTGATCAACACCCACCTTGGCTTCCCAAGTGCTGGGATTACAAGTCATGAGCCACTATGCCCAACTGAAATCATACTATTTTATTAAAAAAAAAAAAAAAAAAGTGGGCCAGGGAGGAGGAAGGTTAGGGGGTTTAATTTATACATAAATTAGTGGGTCAGTTCAGAGAGACACTCTTTTGAATACATGTCCAGTATGAGCTGTCTTGTAAGATATCTCTGCTAGTTAGTCTTATTCCAAAATTTTTTTTTCAAATTTCCTTTTGTTTTTCTATTTCTATAATGTGGATTTATGGCAGTGGTTTTAAAAGAATTAGTCTAGGGAAATGTATTAATTGTAAATAAATTGTTTAATAAAATTTACATGAGTAATTTTGAAAACGATGTAATTAGAGCTGACTATAGAAGTTCAGCAGCTCTGTGGTTACCATCTTTCCCAGATAGGTAGTAGAAATTAAATGTAAAAAGGAAATAAAGTTTGTCTTTGAAATTAATACCAATGAACCAACCAAAGGTAAATGAAAGATACTTTATTGACTTCAATTTATATTTGTAGGAGATTTTACTGTTAAGATTCCTAGGATTCAAAGTATCCAGGCTTTTTTTCTTTCTGTTCTTCGCAAGTAAGCATTTTCAAGGAGTACAAAATCCATTTTTAAAGGATCCAGTTGAGTAAGCTTAATTTTTGGTTCTTCAACAAAGGTTCCATTTAGTTTAGCTTCCTTCAAAACGTTTTAGTCACTTTGAGAGGTCCAGGTACTTTCGTGCTCCAAAAGAGAATGTTGAAAATTTGCCAAGTAGGTCTGTATTATCTATCTAGTTACGTTCAGAACACAGGGCGCTGCTATTTAGGATTAGGTGGATGATCGTCTCTGTTGGACAGTTGGATATGTACCATCTAACTTGACGGGTTTGCATTTCTGGGAATAAACATTGATAAAAGGAAAGCGGTTGCACCGGAAACGTCTTTAATGGCTGGATATGGTGAAAATATGCCAGCATCAGTAGCTCATTGTAATTCTAAAGTTACAAATCCACACGTTTGTAGCTTTTCTTCTTAATTGAATTGGGACATAACTGACTTTGACCGTGAGCCAGCCTAATAAGTAGTTAATTTAAATATGACATTTAAAATCTAACCATTTAATAGTTAGAGAGCATACTTGTTCTGAAATTTATGTGACTGTTTAGAACTTGAGATCTGGGGTCATCATGGACTTGAATCCTAACACCAACATTTAACTGTGTGACCTTGGGCCTCAGTATTTTATTCTATAAAAGATAGTGTTTAATAAGGTTTTTGGGAGAAACAAATAAGATGGTGCCCTTTATGTGTCTAGCATAGTGCTTGGGGTGCTCAGTAAATATTAACTATTATGATAATGTGTGTCCTTTTTTCTTCCATATCTATGTTTAGTTGAGATACTTCAGAATAATGTCTCTATCCCTTTTGAGATCTTAATATATAACTAATATTGCTGTCCAATAGAAACACAACATAAACCACATATGTAGTTTTTAGTTTTCTACAAATCACATTTAAAAAGTACAGAGACAAGTGAAATTAGTTTTAGTAATGTTATTTAACCCAGTCCATGCATGTATTTCATCATGTAATCAATGCAGAAAAAAAGAGATTTTAAATTCTTTTTTTTCCCATAGAAAATCTTCAAAATCTAGTGTTTATTTGATGCTTAGAGCCCATCTCAGTTCAGGGTACCCATATTTCAGTTGCTCAGTGGTTGCCTCTGGTTAGAGGCTACTGTATTGGACAAACAGCTCTAGATTGCCCACAGCTTCCAAGTTTGCCTCTTAAAGCTCTTAGACCCTTTCCGCTAGTGAGAACCTCACTGCCACCTTAAACCCAGCATTACAAAAAGAAAGCTACTCATCTTTCAGACTCTCTACTCTGTTCCCTTTTGCTGTTAGTAATTCCACCAGCTCTTCGGTCTACTGTGTCTGAAATCGGATTCGTATTCTCTTTTTTCTTGTATGTTGTTTGTTGTCTAATATTCTCATATTTTTATTTGAAAATATTTTTTTCTTCACTCTGACTTCATTCTTCCTACTATATATTTGAAAATGTTTTAAAATCTCTTTCCCCCACCCCTTGAGCCCGGTTTCCAACATTTTTGCCTTATCTACAGATTTCCATTTTTTTTTTTTCCTTATTATACTTTATGTTCTGGAGTACCTGTGCAGATCTTGCAGGATTGTTGCTTAGGTACACACATGCTGTCTCCGAGTCCCTGGGCTCCGCATTCTTTCCTCAGCCCTTTATACTGTCAGAAATGAACCTATTTTATAGGTTATTCCTACCCTTAATACTTTTCCTTTGTCAAATATCCAGAGAAGTATAATTAGTTTAACTGATAGTCTGACATTAAAATGATTTATTCAAGAGGAGAAGCACAAATGAAGGAGAAAAATAAGCTATGGGAAGGGAAGATGAAACCATTCTTTGAGCTTTATATGCCTTTCAGGAAATATCAGAAGAAATAGATTCTAGTAGTCTGTAGTACAGTAATTATAGTTAACAATTTATATTTCAAAATAGATGAGAATTGTAATATTCCTAACATAAGAAAAGATAAATGTTTGAAGCGATAGATATTCTGGTTACCCTAACTCGATCATTACATTGTATACATGTACCAAAACGTCACATGTACCCTGGGAATATGTACAACTATGATGCATAAATTAAAAAATACAAAGAAATATCATGGAACTGATTAATAATAATCACAATCACCACCCCAAAGCAGTGAAACTTGATTTTTTTTTAAATTGTACTTTAAGCTCTGGGCTACATGTGCTCATCCCGCAGGGCTGTTGCATAGGTTCACACATGCCATGGTGGTTTGCAGTCTCTGTCACCCGTCGGCTACATCAGGCATTTCTCCCACTGTTTTTCCTCCCCAGCTTCCCTGCCCCCTCGCTGTCCCTCCCTTAGCCCCCCCAACCCCCCAACCTGCCCCAGTGTGTGATGTTCCCCTCCCTATGCCCACGTGTTCTCCTTGTTCAACACCCTCCTATGAGTGAGAACATGTGGTGTTTGGTTTTCTCCTCTTGTGTCAGTTTGCTGAGAATGATGGTTTCCAGATTCATCCATGATGTTTACACAGTGCTTTCTAAGAAACAGGGCACCTTCCTCTGTGCCTGGTGAACAGAGGGACAAAACAAAAGAAAGGCACTGGACAAAGAGTCAAGAAACCTGGGTTCTCGCTGTGGCTTTATTATTTCCTAGCTCTATTCCCTTGCTTAAGTTGCTTTGAGACACTGTTTATACACCTGCTAAATGGGGTATTATCTCTGTCGTGAGATTGTTTTGTTAGAATCAAATGGGGCCTCAGCATTTTTACATTGGCTGTCCTTTGGCTGTGTAGATCTGTCCCCCTCGCCTCCCCCCCCACCGACCCGCTGGCTGCTCCAAGAGCTGTGTGTCTGTCTGCCAATACTTTCATGACTAGACCTACCCTAATCACTCTACTAAAACTGGAACTGCCTTATATTCACACACACAGCTGGATATGTACCACACCGGATCCTCTTACACTGCTTTTTTTTCCCACAGCACTTATAACCTAGCAGTTTGCTAATTTACATAGCAATTGAAACCATTTAATCATTAATCTCTCTTGATGCATTTAAAATTATCACAATTCAGTTTGGGCATGTTTCAGTAGTATAGCTGCTTCATCAATACACATCGGCTTGTGTAACCTTTTAGTAAATGATAATATGTATTCCTACAACTGTATTCACACTTCATAGTCCTGTTTGTGGCAAGGGCCAGGTTATACCATTTATAAATAATGAAATCCATATTTCATCATAAGTTTTAAATGAAATTAAAATGCATATGTATTTCTATAATTATATTTCATAATTTATGGGTTATGTTCTTATTTACATAAATCTATATAGCATTAAATTCTTGCTGAAATTAAAAATGATTATCTTAATATAAACAAAGCTATGGTATATGGATTTACTGAATAATTTTTACTTTACATATATGTAGCCTTTACCTAGCATAACTTAAATGCACTGTCAGTACTGTATAATGATACTATTTTATATTAATCAGCTGAATGTTTTCAATGCATTTTAATACGAATTAACACTTTCTAAAGCCTCACAAAAAAACTTTTGTGAGAGACAAGTCCTGTAACAATACACCTACTTTACAGTTTCAAAGGAGATAAATAATTTGCCCAAGGTCACATACTAGAGGTAGCAAAGCCAGGTCTAAATCGTCTCATTCCAAAATAACCACCTCTTCTGCTATTTCATATAGCCTTACCCTTTGAGGAAGGCATTAGTACTTTCCCCTATTATTATAGATGACAATGCAAAAATCAGTGTGATTCCCCATGTGGTTTCTTTCCCGTAGATTACAGGGATGGATGGATGGATGGATGGATGGATGAATGGATAGATAGATAGGAATATATACATATATTGTATATATACACTTAAATATATGAAATCTTAAGTTTCATTTTATATATACAGAAAATGGAACATGCAAAGTATTATTTGAAATGGAGGTGATTGCGAACAACATCCATGTTCTAATATAATAGGGGAACAAAGCTTCCCATTGGATAAAATGGTACACAGACATGGAAGAACATTGACTGGCCTGAGTGACTTGAGGGCTCAGTGCCCATAATTGAGCAGTACCGAGCGTGTGGCTGGTACAGTGCTCCCTTGTAGTATTAATTTTCGAGAAAAGTAAGGTCATCACTTTTTTTTTTTTTTTTTAGTCCAATGAGTGTAGTATTCAAACATGAATCAGAACAACAGTAGCTTTACACAAAAATTTTGATTTCCTATATGAGTGTTTACTATTTGGTTTTATTTCCAATACTTTAAAGATTTAAATATGTTGAATTTTTCATATGACTAAGCAGAATTCGGTTAATCTGATCTTGGAGTTTAACAGACATTATAACAATGTGGAGGACCCTTTTTTTTTCTTTGGCAGGGTTGAAAAATGTATTGAACATTATGCTGAGGAGTTAGATTAAGAATTAGCTCATGCCTTTAAAGAAGAAAACAGAATATGTCCATAAAGCAAAAGTAAAATTAGACTATTTTCAATTTTCCTGAAAATTCAGTTTTTAACAACTGTTGTTCTATTTTGCCTCTGGAAAGTCTATGCAGAGTGTTCTCCAAGGCATGCTGGGACAAAGAGGAAGCCAATACCTTGATTCTTTCTGCTCCCATTCTAGAAGCTTTCTTGAAATTGTCACAGGGAAGACATTCTCTTGGATCTGTAGCTTCCTTGACTTTGGGAAATGTAGATTTCATGACTGTTCTAATGTCAGTGGTGAATTTATGCTTAAGAGGGTGCTTTGGGATGTCAGAAAAATCAGTTGGCTGTGCTTTCCTCGGGGGCAACACAGTCAGAATTGTACATGTGGGGCTATTTCACATCTCCATCTGCAGAGGCTGGGAAATTGTAATTCCTTTGTAGGGAAGACAATGGCCCCTTTCCTTTGGCCTTTTTTGTGTTCAGACTCCTTAAAAAAAAGGCACACATCACAAGTCATTTTGAGATTTACTGCCTGAAGTCTGCATCAAACTCATAAATACGAAGCAACCATGCTAGTTTCACAATATTTTGGAAGCCTTGTTTCTCTGTTAAAAAATAGGGTTATGACATCAACCCCGTTTAAGTCCTGCCGCAGCTACTAAAATGCTACCATGTTCCTTTTGTAAATTAGGTTTACCATCTCATAAATCATTTTCTGTTTACAATTTTAAAAGTAAGCAGAAACACCCTATTTTAATACATTTCTTAACACTAATCTCACGAGTACTTGCTTCATATAAGATAGAAGATAGAACGTGTAACAGTCTTAAAGTCCTTAGTGCAAACTTTGGAATATTTTGCATTTGTTCTCCTTTTGAAGGAAATAAATAAGCTTCCTACATTGAATATGTATTCTTTAAAATTGCTCTCAAGGAGACATGCAAATACATTGCCTCAGTCATTTTTTTTCATTAGATACACTCATTGTTCATTCAGCACGTGCTCAGTACCACTCAATTAGAGGCAGTGTGTAGGCACTATCAATTTAAATATAAAAGACAGCCCCTGCTTCACAAAATCTGTAGTACAAAAAGAGATTCCTTTGTCTCTTCCAGTGCAAGCATACTTCACAAGTCAGCAGTGAGTGTTCGGATCACCCAGTCCGGTAAATGTGCCTCTGTGTCCATGTGCCATTCCATCCAAT